GGGACAGGCTCCGTGCTGTGGGCCCCAGCTGTGGGGCAGCTCTGCAGGATTAATCCACTGGTACCGATTCACTGGGTTTCACTATAGGAGGGTGGGGGTGGCTGGAGGAGGTGGATCCGGGCTCCTGGCCCCTGGGGATTGTATTTTGTTCCTGATGAGCAGGGCTCTCTCTGCCCTCTGTCACCTAGTTCTGGGCTGCTTTCTTTCACCATGGGGTTCGGCCCCACCTCACGCCCAGAGCAGTGGAGGCAGCCCATGATGGCTGACCTGTGGTACTGGGGATCCAAGGCAGGGCCGTCTCACATGCTAGGCCAGTGCTCGACCTCTGAGCAACATCCACAACCCTTAAAAGGAAATTGGGGAGGACTGGGAATTGAACCAAGGTGCCTCTTACCACTGAGCTACACAGACCCTGTCCCCAACCCTTTTTATTTATTATTTTTGATGTAGGACAGAAGAGACTGGGCATCAAGGAATCTTCAGGAAGCAGGTTTATTGGCTGCAGGGCCAGAGGGCCTACCTCCTAAAATTCTCTGAAAATTCTTCTAACTTTATATACAGTGGGGGGTGGGGGGCGGAGGTTTCCATTTTTGTAGGAGTCTTCTGAACAGTAACACACACACACACACACACACACACGTGCGCACACACACATTTTTTGAGTTCATAGAAAGTACTCTTTTTTTTTTTTTTTTGGTCCTATTTTTAAGATTAGTCAGAGGTTTTATAAGTTTTACCACAAAAGCATCAAATGTGTATGGTGAAACTTAGCTTTTTCAAGAGAAAGCAACTCAGAACTCACAGAGAATAGGAAGTCCTAAACCACATTGAGTTCTTGACAGAAATTTTTGCTGATATTCTATTAATAAGAAAAATCTGGGCTGGGGATGTGGCTCAAGCGGTAGTGTGCTCGCTTGGCATGCATGTGACCCGGGTTCGATCCTCAGCACCACATACAAACAAAGACAAATAATAAAAAAAAAAAAAAAGACAGTCCTGAGATTTAAAAAAAAAAAAAAAAAGAAAAATCTTGGTGATGGTCTTTGGAGAAGCTCAATAAAGATTCTTGGTGGAGGAGGGGGCACCATTACATTTTGAGACAGGATCTCCCTAAATTGCCCAGGCTGGCTTCAAATGTGCAATCCTTCTGCAGCAGCCTCCTGCATTGCTCGGATTACAGGCATGAGCCACCTTGCCCAGATGTACTGCATCTTTTTCTTACTGATCTGTGTAAGCTCTTGTTACGTTGTGTGTGGTTGGTCTCATTATGTTGCCCAGGCTGGTCTTGTTATGCTCGAATTCGGGACCCCCAAAAGACCACAGAGACCAAGATCGATGTAAGCAGCAAAGAGGTGTTTATTGTGAGCTAACTCGGTCCTCTGCGCACACACACAGCAACTGGTGACGCTGAGAGGCCCGAGCCCAGGGTTGCAGCAGTTTTATACATTCTTTGGGGAAGGCAGGGACCCCCACATACATCATAGCATCTCTTAGCAAGTCATCACACACCACGGGAAAATCAAATAACAACTCTAAAACATGATTAGCACATTTACTGGCGGGAACAAGTTGGGTAGGGGTGATTGGTTAGTACAAGAGGGGGATTCATTTGAACTGACTGGTTTAAGCCAAGAGGGGTGTTCGTGCTGAACTACATGGTTTCCCAACACCATAAACTACTGGGAGGGTCATCTGGCATCCCAGGTGTTTCCCTGTCTCATGCTGATTGGTGGCTGCTAGGGGGTTACTCTGGGTCCCCACCTAGCCTGACTGAGTCAGGGACACCTGGGCAGCAGATCTCTCCTCTTATTTGTAGATAAACAACTTAGAAGGGTGGGAATGTGCCTAGGAGTGCTCTGTGGGTCTTTCCAAGGACAAAGGTCATGTCCCTTCCTTGGACAGGCTTTGCTCTGAGGTAGAGGCTGGTTTTTCAACCCATGCCAGGTGAGTGCGCTACCACTTGAGCCACATCCCCAGCCCCTGGAAACTTCTTTTTCGGTGCTGGGAATCGAGCCCAGGCCTCGTGGGTGCTAGGCAAGTGCCCTACCACCGAGCTGTACACCCAGCTGGAAGATTATTTTAAAAATTAGATTTGCAGGGGAGGATTCGCACTGAGTCCACCAGCTTCCTGTCATTTGCTCTTGGGGCTGCTGAGCTCCTGTTCCTTCTCCATATTGGCCAGAACTTTCCCTACCTTCAGCATTCCCTAGGTTTCCTCCCACAGAGCCTTCCGGTATACCTTGCCTCCTGGTGTTAGACAGCCTTTGAACTGGCCTTGTAAGCTGCAGGGCCCAAGGAACTGGTAAAACACCTTCCTAGTTGCTATTCACAAGGGATTTAAAGATCTTTTCTGCACTCCTGAGAAATGGAGATCATTATTCCCATTTCTGTTGAAGAAATTGTAGTTAAGAGACTGAGATATACCCACGCAGAAACCGCTAGAATGTATCAGAACAGGGATATAAATAAACCCTGTTGATTCTCTGCTCTCATGTTGCCTCTAAAATGCCCTTTTATAGCAGAGGGATGTCTGGGAAACATGCTTTTGTTGTATAACAAATTTAATTCTCTATTTTTGTGGTATTGGAGATTGGCTCCAAGGCTGCTGGACCACAGAGCTACAACCTTGTTACCGCTGTTGACCGGTGACAGCCCTTGGTCCCCTGAATGCTGAAGTATAACACCAGAGAAGCACGCGGAGGCAAGTGGAGAGTGGAAAGTAGAAGCTTTATTAAGGACAGCAGAAAAGACTTCTCCCGGAGGAAGAAGGGGACCCAAGGAAGGGGGAGGGCAACACTTTTCTATAGCTAAGGTCTTGTTTCAGCTCTCCCACACTCACATCTTTTGTTTCCCTTTATCTTTCAGTGATAGAATGCAGGTGCGAAGGCCCAAAAGGTGGGAGGTAGGTGGGCTGGAGGAGTAATCTGGGCAGGAAGGGCCTGGGGCAGCTTTTGATTAGCATTTCCATGTTTGCTGGGAGCTGCTTCATTAACAGTTTCTTAGGATGGGCTCCAGACCTTGGGGACATTAACATTTCAATTTCCCCAAAAGCTGCTCTGTTTTCCTGGACTCCTTTCTCCATTTTCTTTCTACACTACCTACCTATCTGTAAATCTGGCTTTATCCTCAGCACTGGATTGTGGGCCTCCACCACCGCCCCGCCCCCACCTGGGTCATGCACTTTTATTATGAATCAAATACAAGTATTTGAGTAACCCCAATGTGCTGTTGTAAGCACATTACTTCCCACCCCCCAACAGCCTTCAACCTAGGTGTTATTATCATCAGTTTACACAGAAGGAAATTGAGACCCAGAGAAGTGAGGTGACTTGCCTGAATGAAGCCACACACTTAGTTTTGGGAGTTGAGATTGAGATAATTCAGGTTTCAGTTTTAAATTCCCTACTGGGCCAGGCTGCTGCTGTTGCTATTCATGTATTTATTTTGCACTCAACCACTGAGACACATCCCCGGCCCTATTTTGTATTTTACTTAAAGGCAGGGTCTGGCTGAGTTGCTTAGGGCCTCACTAAATTGCTGAGGCTGGCTTTGAACTTGCAATCTCTGGTCTCAGCCTCCTGAGCCCCAAGATGATTGGAATGCACCTGACTGCTTCCTTCCAACAGAGGGGATTTTAGAATGCACACAGTTACTTTTAGGAATGCTTCACAGATGAGGTGACCTTTGAGGGGCCTCTTACTGTTGTATGGTCAATCCTAGTGTTGTAGGGACAGACAAGGCAAGGAGCCAAAGATAGCAGGAAACAGTTTTATTAGACTGCAGCCAGGTTCAGAGGCACAGCTTTTTCATAATCAATCCCCTGAACCCCTAGTCTAGGTAGTTTCGGAATTTTATACCCAGCACGGAAGGGGAGGGGCTAGAAGTCCACAGTCTGCAGAAGTTCACATAAAAGCACCTTTTTTTTTTTAAAGATAGAGAATTTTTAAAATATTTAATTTTTAGTTTTCGGGGGACACAACATCTTTGTTTGTATGTGGTACTGAGGATCGAACCCGGGCTGCACGCATGCCAGGCGAGCGCGCTACCGCTTGAGCCACATCCCCAGCCCTAAAAGCAATTTTTTCTTTCACTGTTCTGGGCAAGTTATACCTGAGAAGGGGAGAGCTTCTTCTCCATTTTCTCTCCTCCCCTTCCAGCTGTTCCCATGGAGCCCAGTTGGTAACTTCTTTTATCTTAGAAATGTGGACATCTCTGTGAAGCCCAGATCAAGGCCAGAGGCCTGGTTTACACATTTCTACAAACTACTACACTGGATATGTTTGTGAAAACCTAGTAACGGGGTGTCCAGCACCTCCAGTGCCAATTTCTTCCAGGCTAGCATCCAAGTAAAATAGGGCGACACGAAAATAGGAAGTTTATCTACATTGAACTCTTTTGCTGACAGTCCCAAAATCAGCCATGGTGAAGATTCTGGAGAAGGTTAGTTAAGAGTTTTTGTGGAGGAGAGGGTGCCACTGCACTAGAGGTAGGTGCTACCCCAGCACTAATTTTCCAGGCTGGGCACCTGAATGCTGGGGGAGGTCAAGGCCACGTGGCCAGGGCTGGTCATCCTCCTCCTCCTCTGCCTCCCACTAGCTGGACTCAGCGTCCAGACCCTTCTCAGTCTCATTCCCAGGCCTCTGGGTTGCCAGAGTGGACCGAGGAGCATTTCCTGGGATCTAAGCTCCCCACGCAAGGAGGGCAGTAGTTGCCTGACCCGGAAGTAGTTGCTGAGCTTGCAGCTGCGTCTTCGGTTGCCAGGGCGCCGCCCCGGAAGTGAAGCGCGAGGCGGCCCAAGCGCCCAGCGGCGGCGGGAGGCGTCCTCCCGTGGGCGCCGCAGCGGGCAAGGCGGGGCCAAGGCCGCCCTTGGGCGCGGTCCCAGGTGCCAACACCCAGGGCTGGCCCGCGCCTAGGCCGCCGCCTCCGGGCGCCGCGGTGCGGCCGGGCGCGTGTGCGCGTGCGCGGGCCTCCCCTCGCCTCTGCGGCCGCGGCCCGTGCGGTTGGGTGCGGCTCGTCCGACCCGCGTTCTGCAGGACCGTCGCGCCCGCCGCCGCGCCGCCAGCCTCCCGAGTTCCTGCGACCTGCCTGTGCCTTCCGATTGCTGTAATTGCATCTTATTCTTGTCCCCCCAGGCTGTCGTGGTCCCTGGCCGTCGCCGTCGGTCTGCAGCCTGCACCGTTCTCGCTGGCATCTTTTGCAGGGAGCATTGGCAGCACTTGTGTGGAGGGGACGGGAGCCTGTCGTTCCCTTCCTGCCCGTTTTTCTGTGGGTGGGGGGACCGGACCACGACGTTTCCCTCCCTGTTCCCAGGGCGGGGCAGGGTTGGCCCTCCGCCGTGGGGAGTGGCGGGGCGTGTGGGAGTCACCTGGCTTCCAGTCCTAAGCCTTTTTGGAGTTCGGGAGCAGGTTCTTTGTTTGGGAAACATTAATGGGCAGGTTACAGTGCTGGCTGGTGGCAGTTAGGAAAGATAGGTCCTGCTGTCCCCTTGCTGTGCAGCATGACACCATCACCCAGTGGGGACGTGGAGGGGCACGGTGACACACAGCTGTGGACACCCTGTCGGTGTGTGACCATCATTTACATCGTTATTAACTATTCAAGATGGCTCTTTTCTCCCCTTCAAAGAAAGCTTGTTGGACCATTTTCTAATGGCTGGACCCAGGAGGGTGAAATGATTCTCAGGACTGTAAGTTCCCCTGCTTGCTCTTCTTGCACTGTTGCCTTGGCTTTCGTAACTGCCTGCTGGCAAAGCGGCTGACCTCCTGGGGTTGTAAGCTTGTAGTGACAGGCAGCTGTCCCCCAGGTCCCAAGGATTCTGCTCCACCCCATCCTTACAGTGCATGCTGTAGTAACACTGTGTCCATGACTGGTTGATTCTTTTTTTTCCCCTTTACACTGGAGATGGAACTCAGGGCCACTTTACCACTGAGCCACATATTCAGTCCTTTTAATTTTTTTTATTTTGAGACAGGGGCTCACTAAGTTGCTGAGGGTCTTGCCAAATTGCTTAGGCTGAACTCAAGCTTGCAATCCTCCTGCCTTGGCCTCCTGAATTGCTAGGATTACATGTGTGTGTCACTGTGCCCAGCTTTATGGGTGATTCTTTTCTTTTCTTTTTTTTTTTTTTTTAAACACAATGCCTTTATTTTTATGTAGTGCTGAGAATCGAACCCGGGTTCTGACCTTGCTAGGCGAGCGCTCTACCGCTGAGCCACACTCCCAGCCCTATGGGTGATTCTTTACTGGTCTCCCTCTCTTAAGAACTAGCAGCTGCTGTAGAGTTGGACTTCACCTAATTCACGTGGGTTTGCACAGATAGCACTTGTTTGATCGTGTGCAGAGGGAATTCATTTATTTTTGTTAATTCATCAAATGTTTATTGAGTAACTGCTGTTGCTAGACACTGTTCTGAGTGCTGGGGATTCAGTAGAAGGTAAGGTTCTCATGACGGTGATGTGTCTGTTGAAGAAGGATGATCACCAAATACCTGAAAAATAGACCGATTAACTTCCAATTTGCGCATGTATAGAATCTCCCAATAGCTCAAGACAGCTTCTTGTCCTAAAGAGTCAATCAGCACATCATTGTGTGACGCTCACAGATCTGTCTTCCTTCATTTCTTCCTTCTGTCTGTGCTTTGGATGGAACCCATGGCCTGGCACATAATAGACAAGCACTCCACTGCAGAGCTACACACCCAACCCTAAGAACCTGTTTCTAAAAAGTGATGCCAGTCCTTGAGCCATGCCTTAGTAGCTCTGGACTAAACCAAGCTATGGAGAAAGTACAGTCCCACTTATCCATGCTTTTAATACGTGTGTTTAGTTGTGGTCTTAAAATATTAAGATAGAAAATTCCAGAATAAACAACTTGTAAATTCTAAATTATATACTGTTTTGATTATTGTGATGAAATCTGTCACACTTTGTTCAAAGTATCCATCCTGTGTATGTTACCTGCTTGGTAGTTACTTGGTATCCATCTTGGTTATCAACTTTTTTTTTTTTTTTTATGGGGGGGGGCTCTCACTATGTTGCCCAGGTTGGCATCTCACTCCTGGGCTCAAGCAATCCTCCTGCCTCAGCCTCCCAAGTATCTGGCTACAGGCGTGAGCCACTGCACCCAGTTGTCAGTGATTCTTGAGGTATTGCAATGCTTGTGTTCAAGTCACCCTTATTTTACTTAATATGGTCTCAAAGTACCAGAATGGTGAAGCTGGCTGTTTAGATATGCCAAAGGAAAGCTATGGGTGTGTCCTACAAGTGAAAAGGTGAAAGTTCATCCAGGTATATGTGTATAGGAAAAAACAGTATAGGGTTTGGTACTGTGTTTGGTTTCAGGTGTCCACTGGGTGTCTTGAAATGGTCCACTGTGACTACTGTCAAGTGACAATGTGGTAGTTTTGGATGGATACAGATTGGGTGGTCAGGGAAGGCCACTCGTGAGAGGTGCCCTTTGGGAAGGGGCAGCTCTAAGAGACGAGCGAAGCCTTCAGACAGGATGCCATGTGGTGGGTGTAGGAGCAGAAGAGCAGCCAGGGGCTCTAGAGGGGCCATTGGGAGACAGGTTGAGGGAGACGGGCCTGGGTGGCGCACGGCGGCCTTGTGGGTTGCAGTGGTAACCGTGTTCTCCCGGCCACGCGGGGCTTTGTTGGTGACTTGCTAAAGCACTTTGCCATCACGGGGCGTAAGCATGTTCTGTGTGTCTTATCTCCCTGGGTCTGGAATGTCCCAGTTGGCTTTTTGTCTTGGTGACAGACCTGGCACCCGCACAGTGCTTAGCAGGTGGATGAAAAGCTGGACTGCAGTAGCCCTGAGCCCCGGCCACCTCGGGAACCCTGTGCTCCACCTTAGGAAGTCCTACCTCCCAGTGGGCCCAGGAGGGCACCCTCACCATCTTCCGAAAGTAACCAGTAGCTCTTTGGTTCCCAGGTGGCTCTGTGGTTGGCACAGCTCAGGTGGTGGCAGCCCCAGCCACCGTCTTGAGCTGGGTCCGCCTGAAGGTCAGGGCGCCACTTCCTTGGTCAGGTTTTCATGGTGTTGGCTGGGAGGGGCTCTCCCGCAGGCTTCAGATTCTGATGCTGAATCCCTGGGAACCAGTGGACGCCGAGCGGGTCAAGTTCATGATGCAATGCCTCTGCCCTCTTCCTTCTACCCAGCAATTGGAGAAAGTGATAATGAAACAATCAAATAGCAGTTTTTAAATTTACTCTTCTAAGGAAAAGGACTTCATATTTCTAAGTGGGGAAGGAGCCAGCCTCCTTCTGCAGTGTGGTGACGGCCAGTGGCTTCATTTGTCTGTTCTGCAGGAAATTTCTGAACCCTTCACTGTGCCTGGGCTTGTCTGGGTGCTGATGTGCAGAGATGCCCCACAGGGGTCTGACTGGGGAGGGACATGTAACTAAAGTCACCATGGGTATGGGGGTGGGGGACAGAGTCGATGCAGCCCCTACTCCACTTTTTACTCTCTTGCTGTCGTCTGTGCTGATGCTGTAACAAAATACCTGAGACCAGATAATTTATAAAAAATAGAAGTTTAGGGCTGGGGGTGTATCAATGGTAGAGCACATGCTTAGCATGCACAGGGCCTGGGTTCCAGCCCCAGTACCTAGAAAACACATTTGTTTGGCTTAGGATTCTGGGTCAGGATCAGGACATCTGGCCAGGACTGTGTGTTGTGTCATAACGTGGCAGAGGGCTTCACATGGCGAGACGGCAAACTTGCTGGCTCCAGACTCTTCTTGTAAAGCCACTGATGCCATCTTGGGAACTGTACCCTGGCGACCTCAAATGTTCCTATTTACGTCCAAGACCCCTCCTCCAGATAGCATATGGATTGGGGGTCAGGTTCCAACGCAGACTCCTGAGGGGACCTCCCTGCCACAGCGGTTCCAGCTCCCTCCTCTGCCCTCGGCCGCCAGGCCCTGATGGTCTGCCGGCAGCGTCTCTGGGCAACCTTGACCCCGGGGAGGAGGCCGGAGGGCTCCTGGTGCTCACTTGGTGAACAGGACCCGTCCCCTGAACGTCCCCTGGCTGGTGGGGCTTTGCTTTGTTCATCACTTGCTTGGCCATCTCGGCTTCCATGCCGCTGTGGCTGGACGTCTCACCCAGGGTCAACTCTGTTCTAGGTGAAGCCAGCGGCCAGAGTCAGTGAAGCCGAGAACCTGGGTGACCCAGTGGTTCCTGAAGGACCTATGGTAGGTGTGGCCTGACCTGTTCCCAGCAGGGACTGTCCACCCAGTGGGACAGGGGCAGGGCGGGGCCCTCGGGCTGAGGCAGCCCTGGCCTGGGGGCTCCGCTTCCTGTTGAGCAAAGTGAGGCTGGGAACTCCCCCTTGTGGGTTTGGGGACTGTGACCTGGAGCAGTCTGTGAGCTGCCCAGGCTGTCAAGAGGCGGCTCTTGTCATCTCCAGGTGCGAGGCTGTGACCGAAGGCCGTCCTGAGACTTTGTTTTGTTTTGGGCTTTTTTAGTATTTCTTAGTTGTCAGTGGACCTTTATTTTACTTATTTATATGTGGTGCTGAGAATGGATCCCCGAGCCTCACACTGCTACAACTCCAGCCGAGACTTTGTTTCTGTACTGGGAATCTAACCTAGGGGCACTTTGCTCCTGAGCTAAGTTTCCAGTCTTGCTAAACTGCTGAGGCTGGCCTCCAATTTTCCATCCTCTTGTCCCAGCCTCCCAAGTTGCTGGGATCACACATGTGCACCCCGTGCCTGTCAGAGACTGGGTTTCAGTCCTGCCCTGTGACTGAGGTGGGGGTGCTGACGGCCTGGGTGTGGTAGGGCTGGGGAGTGAGGCTCCCATAGTCAGAGGACAGAGGGGAGCAGGATTCGCCTGGGGTTCAGGGCTGTGGGGCAGACTTCAAATAGTGAAGTGTAGAATTTCCTCGGTCACTGGCGTTGACATGTCCCTGAGGCGCGGGGACAGGCCACAGCTGGCAGGGATTTGGCTCTTACGGCTCTTTGCCGTCTTCAGCGCAGTGACTGCCTGTGCTCTTTGTGTATCATGACCAAACACCAGTGGTGGCCGTCCACAGGGCACCTGGCTCTGCAGAAAGCAGAAATGGGCCATCAGCATCACCTTGCCGGAGGCCAAGTGCGTGGAGGGCCACAGTGGGCCGTGTGAAAGGCAGGGTCCTCCTGGGTCTGAATCAGGCCCCCGCGGCTCCCTGGGTCTGGTTCCCATGCAGGCTCCTAACCCCTGGCCTTCAGCCTCCTGCGCTGACCATCTAGAGGGGTTTGTTTGTTTGCAGAGCTAAGGATTGGACCCAGACCTGGAGCATGGTAGGCAAGCGTTCTACCACTGAGCCACATCCCCAGCCGTTTTTATTTTTGTTTTGAGACAGGGGCTCGCTAAGTCGCTGAGGCTGGCCTCGAACTTGTGAACCTTCTGCCTCGGCCTCCCAATTTGCTGGGATTATAGCCACTGTACCCAGCTGATATTGAGTATTTCTCGAGTGCCTTCCTGGTGCCAGGTATTGTTCTTGGTGCTTTTGTAGGTTCATTTATTCAGCTCTTGCTATAGCCCCAGGACGTGGGTAGATACTGTTCTTATCCATTTTACAAATGAGGAAATAAAAGTTCAGAGAGGTTAAGTCCTATGCTCAGGGTCACACAGCCAGTGAGTGGTGGGGCTGGGCCTCACATCCCAGCTGCACAGTCCAGAATCCCACCACAGTGCCCCCTCCCTGACCCTACCATCCTGGCCAGAGGATGGGCAGCCATTGTGTCAGTGCCCATCTCTTCTGCCCCGTCGTCACTTGGCCTGGAGTGGAGCAGGTGCTGCTCATGAAGCCTGGCGGCTCCTGGAGGCCTGACTTGCCTGCTCTGCACTCGTCCCTCTTCACATGGAGCCCCACGTGCAGGTGCAAGGAGCAGGCTTCTCTGGGGAGCTGGGTGGGGGCCTGGCATTCCGCGCAGCTCGAGCGCGTGAAGTCACTTTTTGAAGGAGGAAGCTGAGGCCTGGAGTCGTCAGAGGCCTCGCTCAGCCGCAGGGTGAAGCTGATGGTCAGTCTGTCTGAGCCGAGTCCCTGTGTGAGCCAGGCATGGAGTGGCCCGTGCCGTAGTGAGGGGAGCCAGCCCCTGACCTGCAGGGGGCAGCAGTCGCAGAACAGATCTGCGGGGTGCTGCCCTTGTGCCTGGCCGGGAGGCTCTGCAGAGGGAGTGACCGGTTTGTGCTGGCGGATGAGTGGGAGGGGGCAGCTGGGCAGGGGGCAAGGGGACAAGAGAGTGGGCAGAGAAGACCAGTGTGGCAGCTGGGCACAGTAGCTGCAGCAACTCAGGAGGCGGAGGCAGGAATATTTGACTTAGCAAGATCCTGTCTCAAAATCAAAATGAAAAAGGGCTGGGGAGCCAGGCCCGGTGGTGCACCCCTGCAATCCCAGGGCTCAGGAGGCCGAGGGAGGAGGATCATGAGTTCAGACAGCCTCAGCAAAAGTAAGGCCCTAAGCCACTCAGTGAGCAGTGTCCCTGAGTTCAATCCCCAGTCCCCCCCTCAATAAAACAAGGAAAAAGGGCTGGGGACGTGGCTCAGTGGTAAAGCACTGGGTTCAGCCCCCAGTACTCCCTGCCCCCCCACCCCCCCCTTTCCAAAACTGAAAACAAAACAAAAACCCTAAAAGCAAAGTCAAGAAATCAGCGCGACAAGGACAGGGAGGGGAAGGACAGGTGGCCCAGATGTACCTGGAGGAGCAGGTAAGAGCCTGGGGTCTGTGTTTCAAGTACACTGGAGGCCACTGGTCATTCGCTCAGAGTGGAGTGGTCAGATACCCCGGAAGGTCACTGCGGTTGTCTGGAGGGGGCAGGGCCTTGAGGGGAGATCGGTGCTGGGCGGGTGCCCTCCACTCCCCTCAGGAGTCAGCTCGCGGTGCCCTCCTCAGGCCAGTCTCCCCCGCCTGGGCAGGGCTGCCCTCCTCCTGCCCGCCAGCCCCTCGCGCCTCTGCTTTGGTTCTTGTTTGGGTGCCCTTGGTGATGGGGTCACCTTTACCGCCCACCAGGCCAGGACCCCGCCTCCTGTGCTGGCCTCAGGACTCAGGGCTTCTCGGGCAGCATCGGTGCCGCTCACCTAGATGGCAGAAGTCCCCTTCCCCTGCTGTGACACCAGAATGCCCCCAGACATTGCCTGGGGGCGGGATTGCCCTTGGCTGGAGACCAGTGCTGGGCAGAGGCGCTGGGGTGGGGCAGGAGCTGGCCTTGGGTGTTGGAGGAGCCTCTGCTCTGAGGGAGGTTGCTGGCCGAGGTTCAGAGCCCTGATGACTTGGTCTCTTCCAGGATTATGGCAGGAAAAGTGAAATGGGTCACTGATATTGAGAAGTCGGTGCTGATCAACAACTTCGAGAAGAGAGGATGGGTCCAGGTGACCGAGAATGAGGACTGGAACTTTTACTGGTGAGGACAGCCACTGGATGTGGGCTCTCTGGAGCCTGCCTCCGAGCTGACTCCCTCCTGCCCGGCAGAGAGTGGCCCCGGGGAGGACCGTGTTTCCAGAGCCACGGCCCAAGCACGGGGCGGGGGCGGGGGAGTGGGGGCAGGCGCTCAGCATCTGGGCAGGCAGGAGGAGCCCAGCTCCCACCTCCCCACACGTACTGGCCGCAGTTGGTGCCCAGGACAGGGCGGGTGCCTTGGGGGAGGTTGGTGCCTCCCTTGGCCTCCCTCTGGCGCCCTGCAGGGCTCAAGCTGGGCCATCAGCCCCGGAAGACCACAGTGGAGAAGGATTCCGCTAGGAGAAGAGAAGCCGCGTGTGGGCATTGGCTCCAGTGGCCAGGGTCCTGTAGATGCTTCTCGCTGCGTGTTGAATAGGTCCCATGTCCTCCTCCACCCTCCTTCCTCTTGTTCCTCCTGTGGTGGCCACAGTGGGGGCCTGGTCTGCTCCTCCCTCAGGGTTGACCATCATCTCTGAAGGGGCCTCCTGACCAGGGGTCGGCCTCCACCCTCTGACAGCGTCACACACCAGAATGCAAACCAGGTCACGCACTCTGGCCTCCCGGTCACCTGCAGCTGCCCAGAGCAGTGCAGTGATTCTTGGAGGAGTGGGCCCGGGTGGGCGAGCAGGAGTCTCACCCCACACCTGTCCCCGCCTCAGACTCGCTGGCCCAGTGCTGACCTGAGAGATGGTCCTCCCCCCCTCGGCCACTGTCCTTCTCCCCACTGCCCCCAGCTCCTCACTGTTCCCCTGCCGTGACCTTGCTCACCCGAGCTGTGCCCCCCCACCCCCGTGCACACACGCACGCACACACACCTGGCGAACCTCAGCCCGTCGTTCACAGGTGCCCATCCAGACTCTGGAGCCCGATTCTCCCCTCTGTTCACACCTCGCCCCGCCTCTCTGTGTGGCCACCCTCTGTGTGTGGACGGTGGCCAGAGCTTGGTGTCTCTTCAGATCCGGTTGTTGGAGGTTTCAGAGTCTCTGTAAAGTGGGGGCTTGGGGTGGTCTGGCCTGAGGTGGGCGCTCGTGAGCGAGTCCACACGCTGCCCCTGAGGCCGCCTTTGCCTCTCCGAGGCTCACAGTTTGCCTTATCTGGTGGCAGGGCCGCGGGTGTCCTGGGATTGGTGTCCCCACCTGTGCCCTCTTTACATGGTTCTGAGACCCTTTAGAGAGCGAAAATCCTGCCTGGCTGTGCCAGAGTCCCCAGAGGCTGGCAGGGGCCTGGGCACCGAGCGGGCCCGCGGTCGGCTTCCGTATCCGGAGTCAGTGGGCGATGACTGCATTGCTTCTGACGACATGCCGGTTGCCTGGTTACCTGCACGACCAGCCACAGCCAGATTTCGTCCAGGAATGTGGTGTGCCGACTGGGGAGCGCTCCCGGGTGCTTCAGCCCCTGGGTTCACTCTGCCAGGTAAAGTGCAGAACCCTCTGCCCCGTGGACCCTCAGGTTCCGCCTCTGCAGACTCAACTAACCCTGGGTCAAAAATATTTGGAAAAGAAAATTGCAGCAGTACCAAACATTCACTTTTTCTTCTTGTAATTATTCCCTAAATGATAGAGTATAACTATGTACACGGCATTGCCTTCGCACGAGCATTGGAAGTAATCTAGAGGTGATTTAAAGTTGGGGGGGTGCAAAGGCCCTGTGCAAACATAGCACCCTTTTTTCTAGGGGACCTGAGCACCCTCATAAGTCTTGGAACAGCTCCCTGCAGATGCCGAGGGGCAGCTCTAATTCCTCCAGAGCCTTGTTTAATAGGTGCTGCGAAAGGAAAGACTGAGTTGCACAGTGACTTGTAACTTTCTGTTCCAAGTGTGTTGCCCTGGGCCACCCAGCGCTCTGAAATCACCCGCGGCTCTCACCGGGTCATGGGTGCTCGAGTGCCTCCTTCTCCATGTGGAATAGAAACATCCCGCTGGGGTCTCCCTACGCTGCCCAGGCTGGCCCCCAACTCCTGCGCTCACGCCAGCCTTCCGCATCAGCGCTGGGCTAGCTAGACCACAGGTGTGATGCCACCACGGGCTTCCAGCTGTTCCCAACAGCAGGAGGCATAAGAGAGGCCCAGCCAGAGACGCAGGGTGGGAGCTGCAGCCATTGGTTTAACTTTTTTTTAAATTTTTTATTTGTAGATGAGCACACAGTGTCTTTATCTATTTTTGTGTGGTGCCTCACACGTGCAAGGCAAGCGTTCTGCCCCTGAGCCCCAGCCCAGCCCTGACTTGACCTTTACTCCTAGGTGCTAACAGCAGGTTCGGAGTCGGTCAGGGTCACAGTGGAACCACTCGGTTCAACAGCGTGGGAAAGGTCAAGTACTTCAGCTGAGTGGTTATGGCTCAGGTGCTAAACCGACAGTTATAGTGCGGTTTGGAAGCTTCTGTAACCATAAGTGAGACGAGCGTAGTAAGGACTGTCACTGGGGCTGGGAGGACAGCCTGTGTGCCTTCGGAAAGCCGCCGGGTGACCTCAGTCCGAGTGCTCAGCCCAGCCCTGCCCTGGTTCCTGACTAAGAGGCCAGTGGAATGGCCTTGGCCCAAGTCGCTTTGGGTGAACGGCACCGCAGTGGCCGGGACCAGGGAGCTGCTGGCCGCACACCTGGAGGGGTGCGGGGCCCAGCTGTGATCTTGAAGACTGGCCAGTGAAGGGAACAAGTCACGCAGGATTTCCTCTCGTGAACGAGCTGCTCTTAGGGTACCTGCTGTGGATGAGGGGATCTTGCAGGACTGTTGCTGCTGGTAACGACGGGGCAGGGGGAGGTAGAGGGCGGCCACGGGAAGAGAAATGTGGTTTCTCATCGTAGTCTTTATGTTCAGCTGATAATATTTTCGACATATTGGATTAAATAAGATCTATTAGGACGGTGTTTTCTCACCTGTTTTTTCTGGGGAGGTAGCGGGGATTGAGCTCAGGGGCACTCAACCACTGAGCCACGTCCCAGCCCTTTTGTATTTTATTTAGAGACAGGGTCTCACTGAGTTGCTTAGCGCCTCACTAAGTTGCTGAGGCTGGCTTTGAACTTGAGGTCCTCCTGCCTCAGCCTCCTGAGCCGGGGGGATCACAGGCATGGCCACTGTGCCCAGCTCTTGTAACATTTTAAAAACTTGCCTGTTAGTTTAGTTGTGCAAGAGATGGAGCCAGGGCCTTGTGCATGCAGACGACCCCTGAGCTACACCCCCAGCCCCCACCTTACCAGAGGATTCGTGGTTCCACACGTGGCTCATTCCATGTCTGCTGGACACTGGGGACAGTGCTGGCCGGTGGGGCTTGCCCATCACTGACATCCCAGAAGGAGACCCCAAGCCGCACGTTTCCGCTGACCGGGTACACGCCACGTGGGAGGCAGCCTGGCCAAAAGATCTGCTCATCAGCCCTCGAGGCTGGCTGGCAGTTCCTAGGAGGTCAGGGGCGGGGGACGTGTGAATGAGGAGCCTGGGTGAATCCCACAGGACAAGGACAGATGTCCTCGACAAAGGAGTTGCATGGAAGAGAAAGAAGGAGGAGAGAGGACAAGGACTAGAAGAGAAGTAAGAGCCCAGGCTGGTGGCCAGGCCGTGTCCCAGTCACTTGGGAGGCGGAGGCAGGAGGACCACAAGTTCAAGGCCAGCATGGGCAACTTAGTGAGGCTCTGTGTCAAAATAAATTAAAAAAAGGGGGGTGGGTTGTTGCTCCATGGTGGAGCCTGGCACGTGCAAAGCCTTGGGTTCATCCCCAGCACCACAGGGAATGGTGATAAAATGTGAAGGCATCTCTTTCTACCATCGCCCCTTCCTCTGTGAGCCTTCCAAGAGTATGATGTGCTAACTCAGGGCCCTCAGATAACCCTGTGATTTCATTTTTTTATTTTTGGTACTGGGGATTGAAACTGGTGGTGCTTAGAGATAGGGTCTCCCTGAGTTGCTTAGGGCTTCACTAAGTTGCTGAGACTGGTTTTGAACTTGTGATCCTCCTGCCTCAGCCTCCTGAGCTGCGGGGATTACTGGTGTGTGTCACTGTGCCTGACCAACCCCTGTGATTTCGCCTTTAAAGGTCAATGATCTTTCTGAATTTGGGTGCAGATACTGTGTGAGTGAGGTTCCCTGGAGTCTGAAAGGGGTCAAACTGCACTTGTTGCCAATGTTATCATGATCAGTGAACATTTATTAGGCTCCTATCTCGGCAGAATCAAAGCAGCTCCTGCCTCACAGTCAGGTCCCGTCCAGTGCCTGGACACTGGGGCACAAGGGGTGGCGGCCAGGGCTCCGCGGGGCTGTGGGGGACTGGCGGCCTTAGCCCTCTGAGCTCTGTTTCAGGATGAGCGTGCAGACCATCCGGAACGTGTTCAGCGTGGAGACTGGGTACCGGCTCTCGGACGACCAGATCGTCAACCACTTCCCCAACCACTACGAGCTCACCCGCAAGGATCTGATGGTGAAGAACATCAAGAGATACCGGAAGGAGCTGGAGAAGGACGGGAGCCCGCTGGCCGAGAAGGACGAGAACGGGAAATACCTCTACCTGGGTGGGCACCTTCCGCTGGCTGCTGGTCATCAGTAGCTGAGTTTCTCATCGGGAGGGACCCTGAGGTGGGGGTGCTGGCTCAGCTGGGAGAACGTGTAGGTGCCGGTCTGTGGCTCCTCTGTCCCCTCGGTGTCTGGCGGGTGGGTTGGGCCACGGATGGCTGGAGGGTGTGCTCGGTGCCCGTGCACAGGAGACACCTACCTGCCTGCCTGCTAGGGTGGGCCCCCGCTCCTCCAGCTCCAGGAGGACGCTGTGTCCCTGCCCCACCTGGTGATGGAGGCGGCTGCGGGATGGTCAACTGTCCCTCCACGTCCCGGGCCGCGGTTTCCTCATCTGCCAAGTGGGGGTGCGAGCTGTAAAGTCGGGACACTCAGGGCCCAGTGAGGGGAACTGGGCCTGCACAGGACTCCAGTGGCCGAGTCCTCGTCGTGTGAGGCCCCGGTGGTGGGGACCGGGTGGGGACGGGGGACGACAAGTGCTAGAGGCAGTGGCTTCTCGTTTCCGGCCCGTGGGCTGCCACTCACGGCACTGGGCTTCCCCTTCCAGACTTCGTGCCAGTCACCTACATGCTGCCTGCAGACTACAACCTGTTCGTGGAGGAGTTCCGGAAGAGCCCGTCCAGCACCTGGATCATGAAGCCTTGCGGCAAAGCCCAGGGCAAGGGCATCTTCCTCATCAACAAGCTCTCGCAGATCAAGAAGTGGTCCCGGGACAGCAAGACGTCCACGTGCGTGCGCGGCGCCCATCACGGGCTGGGTTCTAGTTAGCCACTGCCGGCATCCTCAGTCCCTGGGCCGCGAGCGGGCTGACCCTTGCCTGCTTTCCAGCTGCGTGTCACTTGTGGTGTGGTAACCTAGCGGGGCCTGTGGCTGTGATAGTGTCAACCAGACTCTCCCTGGGGTGACTGGTCCCAGGCTGGCGGGAGGCCTGCCGGGGCACAGGAGCAGGCTTCGAGGCTGGCGCTTCAGACCTCGGGTTTGAATCCCACTCTCGCTAGCTGAAGGTTTTTTGGTATTTTCTTGTTTGGTTTGGTTTGGTGCTTTGAGTCGAACTCAGGGTGCACCACTGCGGAGCCACATCCCCAGCCCTTTTTATTTTTTATTTTGAGACAAGGTCTCCCTAAATTGCTGAGACTGGCCTCAAACTTGGGGTCCTCCCACCTCTGCCTCCTGAGGCGTGGGATTGCAGGTGTGCCACCGTGCCCAGCAGTGCCTGCTTCTGGACCTAGTTTAAACTCGGGGCACTAATGACACCACTGCCTTGGGAGTGGGATGAGTCACGGGTGGAGCCTGGGGCAGTGCAGCGAGTGCGTGGCGCCAGAGGCCATCAGGGTTCTCATGTGCTGGTTGTAGGTCAAGTCCAGATTCTTCCTGGGTTGCAGGCTCCTCTCTGCCCTTGGGGTGTCCTCAGCGGCTCTCAAGTGCCCGGGGCCCCTGGAGCAAGGCCTGGTGTGATCCTTTCCCAGTGGGGTGATGTCTCACGTGTCAAGAGATCCCAGGGAAGTGGGGGGGGGCTCGTGTGCCGTGCACTTAAATCTGACCGCACCTTTCTGTTCCCCAGGCTGGCTCCTCGGGGGCTCCCAGGGGCTGTGTGGCAGTCCTCCCACTGTCTCCCTGAATCCCTGTCACCTCAGTTGTCTCCTGATGAGCCAGGATCTCTCTCTGGGAGGCAGGGGCTTGTGACCAACTAAATGTACCTTTGCTCTTTGCTGACGAGATTTCAGCCGGGCGCAGTGGCACACTCGTGTTATCCCAGTGGCTCAGGAGGCCAGGGCAGGAGGATCTCAAATTCAAAGCCAGCCTCAGCCATGGCGAGGAGGCTCTAAGCAACTCAGACCCTGGCTCTAAATACATACAAAATAGGGCTGGGATGTGGCTCAGTGGTCGAGTGCCCCCGAGTTCAATCCCTGGTACCAGGAAAAAAAAAACCCAAAGAATTTAGTACTTTCAGAGCAGTTTTGGACTCACTGCTAAGCTGAACAGAAGACGGGGCTGGGGTGGTGGCTCAGGGGTAAAGCATTTGCCTCGCACCTGTGAGGCCCTGGGTTCGGTCCTCAGCACCACATAAATAAATAAAATAAAGGTATTGTGTCAACTACAATGAAACAGTTAAAAACAGCTGAACAGAAGATCCAGCTTTCCATCTCCCTACCCCCACCCCACCCCACCCTCCCCTGTCCACAGCCCTGGGTGCTCGGCCGCTCCTGCCCCTCCCCCCAGCCTCTGGCAGCCTCTGGTCTTTGTGCTGTCCCCTTGCCTTTTCCCTAGTGCCACCCAGGAGGAATCCCACCACATATAGCCTTTCACCTCTGCTTCAGTTGTGAGCAACGTGCGTTAAGCTTTGTCATAGTGCATGATAGGCATCTGTGTCTTCTCCTGGCTCCATGCTTTCTTTGTCCCACTGATTAATATCCCGTTATCTGCATGGACCACAGATTATTTATCCCTCACTTGCTGAAGGACATCTTGGTTGCTTCCTGGTCTGGGGGAGTTATGAACAAGCTGCCGTAAAGGTCCAGGGGCAGGGTTTGCAGGGACACGTGTTCTCAGCTCCTCTGGGGAGACGCCGAGGGGTCTGATTGGTAGACCTGTGGCAGAGTGTGTTTAGTTTCTTTAGAAAGTTCCTGATGAGCTGAATATGGTGGCACACCTAGCAATTGCGATCCTAGCAATTCAGGAGGCTGACGGAGGAGGATCACAAGGTCAAGGCCAGCCTCAGCAACTCAGCAAGACTCTATCAAAATAAAAAACAAAAAGGGCGGGAGATGGAACTCAGTGCTAGGGCACCCTGGGTTCAATCCCCAGTGCCAAAGCACAGCCTCCAAAGCGGCTGCCCCACTTTGCACTGCCAGCCGTGAGTGCAGACCTGTTGCTCCGTGTCCTGGTGGGCGCTTGGTGTGACCCTTCACAGGTGGTTTATCGTGCCCTCCTGATGGCGTCTGAGGTGGAGCGTCTCTTCCTGTGCATAGTCGCCACCATGTGCCTATCTTTGCTGAGAGACCTTTAAGGTCTTGATCCATTTCTAAATGGTTGATACTATTGTTGGGTTTTAGCGTTCTTTGTATTTGGGGATAACCCTCCTTTGTCAGATATGTCTTTTGAGCATATTTCCTCCCAGTTTGTACTTGTCTTTATATTTTCTTTTTTCTTAATATTTATTTTTTAGCTGTAGTTGGACACAGTGTCTTTAGTTTATGCATTTATTTTTATGTGGTGCTGAGGATCGAACCCAGGGCCGCACACGTGCTAGGCGAGTGCTCTACCGCTGAGCCACAACCCCAGCCCGTCTTTATATTTTCTATTTTCTATTTTCTTGACGGTGTGTTTTACAGAAATTTTGTTTTCCAGCACTGGGGATTAAACTCGGGGCTTTAGCTAAACAAATGATTTACCACTGAGCTGTTTCTAGCCCAGAAATTTCTAAGTCTAATGAGGCTGGGTCTATCAGTTCACTCTTTAATGGGTCGTGCCAATACTGTCTTTTACCCTCTCGGTGCACAGGTTCGTGTCTCAGTCCACCAAGGAGGCCTACGTGATCTCGCTGTACATCAGCAACCCCTTGCTCATCGGCGGGAGGAAGTTTGACCTGCGCCTCTATGTTCTGGTGTCCACCTACCGCCCGCTGCGCTGTTACATGTAAGAGCCGGGCCTTGCCTCTAGCTGGTGTGCATCTTAGCCTGACTCGGCCTCCTGCTTAGCACCACCGTGAGGCGAGGGATTTAGTAAAACAGTGGGTGCTCAGGTGGGTGCTGGGAAAATAAGAGCCACTGGCCTCGATGCCACTGTGAATCCCACAAACAAGAGGGCAGCTCCTTTAAACGTTAAAGCAAAAGCCGTTCCTTTTAGTCCTCAGAGTCTGAGTCAGTTGAACTCCCCCCAGGTATAAGCTGGGGTTCTGCCGGTTTTGTACCGTGAAGTACACCCCGAGCACCAGCGAGCTGGACAACATGTTCGTCCACCTCACCAACGTGGCCATCCAGAAGCACGGGGTGAGTGTCTTTCTGCTCCTGCTGCGTGGGCTGCTTTCCTGTGTCCGCAGGAGAGGACAGGTGGCCCAGGGGTGGTGTGGAGGGTGCATCCTGGCCCGAGGCCCTGGCGCCAGGGGATGGGGGCCAAGTGCTTGCTTGGGGGAAGACAAGAGGGGGGCTCTGGGAGAGAGGAGGCCACAGGTGCAGGTCCCCCTTTCTAGTTCTGTGACCTTGGACAAGCACGTTCAACCTTAAGCCTTACTTAGTCTGTCACAATAAAAGGAAATAATAGTATTAAGAGGTTCCTTCTGCTACGATGAGGTCGTCGAGTCTCGTAGATCTGTCTGACGTTGGAATATAGGTTAGAAAATGCATCAAAATTGGGAGAGGAAGCCGGACGCGGTGGCACTCACCTGTCATCCCAGTAGATCAGGAGGCTGAGGCAGGAGGATCGCAAGTTCAAAGCCAGCCTCAGCAATGGCGAGGCACTAAGCAGCTCAGTGAGACTCTAAATAAAATGCAAAATAGAGATGGGGATGTGGCTCAGAGGTCGAGTGCCCCTGGGTTCAGTCCCTGGTACCAAAAATAAAAAGTAAAATAAGGGGAGGAGGGGTTGGAGTGGTGGCTCAGTGATAGAGCGCTCGCCTAGAGGCATTGGGTTCAATCCTTAGCACCACATAAAAATAAAATAAAGGTATTGTGTCCACCTACAACTAAAAAAAAATGTTTAAATGTTTCTTAAAAATAAGGGAAGAGTGGGGAGTGAAATCAAACTCCATGCCTGCATGATCTTGTCAAAATGCATCCAGCTACTGTGTATAAAGGTGCTCTAATAAAAAGCCAGTCCCTGTAATCCCAGTGATCAGAAGGCTGAAGGAGGAGGCTTGCGAGTTTGAGGCCAGTTTTAGCAATACAGCAAGATCCCCAGCAACTTAGCGAGATCCCATCTCAAAATTAAAATAATAATAGAAAGGGCTGTAGCTGTAGCTCAGGGGTAAGGCACCCCTGGGTTCAATCCCCAGTGCCACACACAAAAAAAGCCACACTCCACCTCGCCCACTGAGCATCATGCCTCTGAGCCCTCCTGTGAGGCTGGTGGGGTTTGGTTTCACAGTTCTCAACCTCTTGCTTTGAAAGTGAAACCCCAGACTCATTACCTCCTGATGCCTTTGTGTCACCAGTGTAAGAGGGAAGCCCCTGGCTGTGGGACGAGCATCAGCCACTGGTCCCCAAAGCCAGTCCTAGGGAGGAGCGGTGGTGAGGTCAGGGAGGGAGCTTTGTTGTGGGTGTGGCTACGCCAGGAAGAACAGAGAGGTCTTGCGCCTGGGCTCTGTCTCCAGGGGCTGGTCGAGGGCAAGGGGAGCTAGGCTTGGGGTCTGCAGAGCTGGCACAGCAGGCCGTCCTGCTCCATCAGCTCAGGATCCACCGTAAGAGCTTTGTTGGCATCGAGAAGGTCACTGGTGTTTGGGGGTGGGGCTTCTAGTCCTCCTCATGAGGTGTTTATGGGTCAGACCTGCGTCCCTGGAATCCAGGTGACCGCAGGAGAGATGACTCAGGGGGCTCAGAGGGGAAAGAAAGTCCCCATGGCCAGGCGGAGCCGGGGGCACAGTGGGGTCAGCTAGGTCAGTGACGGAGCCTCCTTCAAAGGCCGGTGGTATGGGGGGAACGGATTGGCAGGGATGCGGGGACAGGAGTGCTGAGCCGGCTTCAGGAACCCTGGGGCCTGCTCCACCCCAGCCCAGGACGAAAGCTTGGGCACATGGTAGCCGCTCTGAGTCCATTACCCTGCTCATGAATCGAGGCCGCATTGGTGACACCGCAGGCTTGTTAGAGAATTACAAGTGCGGAGTTTTTTCTTTCTTTCTTTTTTTTTTTTTTTCTTAGTTGTAGATAGACACAATGCCTTTATTTTTATTTATTTTTATGTGGTGCTAAGGATGGAACCCAGGGCCTTATGCGTGTGAGGCAGGTGCTCTGCCACTGAGCTACACCCCCAGCCCTGCTAATTTGTTTATTTTTTTATTTTGAGACAGGGCCTTGCTAAGTGATGTTGGCCCTGAATTTGCAGTCCTCCTGCCTCAGCCTCCCACGTCACTAGGATCACAGGCATGTGCCGTGCGCCCGGCCACGCATGGTGTTTTTGAGTGTAGGGCCTAGCACACATGTGTCTTGGCCTGGCTTTTCCAGGTGAGAGACTGAGGCAGAGATCTGCGGGCAGGAGGTGTGGGGCTCATCCTCAGGAGCAGCACGTGAAGCAGGGAGGTGGGCAAGGCCAGGGCACTGCCAGGGGAGCAAACGCAGCTGCAGCAGAGGCGCCAGCTGGCACCAGGTGGCGCTGTGGAGCTGGGTGCCCACCTAACTGTGCAGGAGCAGGGAGAGGGCCCACGCTGGCATCCGCCAGGCCCTGCCAGGCATGACCTTGGATGAGGCAGCTTCCTGGAGGGTCTCTGCCGGGGCAGGAGTGCTCTGGTCTTGAAGGGGGCCTGGGTGGCCCTCCACAACATGGGCTGTGAGGTCGGTTATGAGAATACTGTAGCGCTGGACTTTAGGAGGCTCAGAGCTCTGCCAGGCAGGGAACCCATCTGCCCACACCCAGAAGGCACTCGAATGACCTTGGAGGGACGAGAGAGCAGGTGGCTGGGTTCCTCAGGTGCATTGCTGGAAGGTGCCCTGTCCCCGTTTTCTGTCACTAGGAGGACTACAACCACATCCACGGGGGCAAGTGGACCGTGAGCAACCTGAGGCTGTACCTGGAGAGCACCCGCGGCAAGGAGGTGACCAGCAAGCTGTTTGACGAGATCCACTGGATCATCGTGCAGTCCCTGAAGGCTGTGGCGGTGAGTGCCAGGTTCAGGGGCCAGGTGGGCACCGGGATGAAGGCCCTCAGGAGCTGGCCGTGCTCACCACCGGGCTGCTCTTGTTGTTTTGCTAAAATACCCGCGTTCACGTCCTCATGTCTGCGGGTCAGCCAGAGGCCCCCTCAGGGCGTCGCTGCTCAGTGAGCTGCGTCCAGCTTCCCACGTGTGGCCACAGGCCCTGCATCCTTTGCGGCAGCCCAGGCGCCCCGACACCATCCTCGGCCCTCCCTGTGCCCACTGGCTCCGGGTGAATGTTTCTGTGGGAAGCGAGTGATGGAGGTGGACCCTCCTGTCTGGCTGCAGTCTCCGCTGCTCCATGAACATCCAGAGCTCACTTGCTCCTCCTCTGCCCTTCTGTTTGCTGCTTGTGTTGCTCTGAAGCAGGCGCGCACCTGCCCTGAGGGGGGAGAGGAAGAGTACTTAGAGCCCCTCGTGCTGGCCCTCACGTTCAGGGCTTCACAGATGGTATCTCTGAGGTGTCTGATCACCCCGACTTGACGCTCGAGAAAATGGGGGCTCGAGCCCTAGAGCTAGAAAGCGGAGGGCCTGGCATTGGCTCAAGGCCCGGCAGTCCTCCACCTCACCAGTGAGGGTCGGGAGGCACCAGCCCACTGCCGAGGCCCTCACCGGAGACTGGGTCCCTCCACCTGGGCTCATGGTCTTGCTGCTGAGCTGGCCTCTGACGGGCCCTCCCCCACTCAGGTATGGGACCGAGGACACGTAGCCATGGAAATTGTAGGAGGGTGCCGGCCACATCCTAGTCTTTTGTTTTTTTAGAGACAGAGAGAGGGAGAGAGAAATAATTTTAATATTTATTTTTTAGTATTTGGCAGACACAACATCTTTGTTTGTATGTGGTGCTGAGGATCGAACCCAGGCCGCTTGAGCCACATCCCTCAGCCCCTCACATCCTAGTCTTTTAAGAAAGGTACTTTATAAATCTTCAGAAGTGGGGCTGGGGTTGTGGCTCGCGTATTCTGTCCACCTACAACTAAAAAACATATTAAAGAAAAATCTTCAGAAGTTTAAGAAATCAAGTTGAAGAGCCAAAGAACCACAGCCAGGCTGCAGCACGCGGCCCGCAGACCAAGGGCCTGGGGAGGAGCCCTGCCGCGAGCGCAGGTGTGTGAAGTCGCTGTGCCCAGAGGCTTGGGCTGAGCGTGGGGCGCGTCTGCAACCCTCCATTGGAGACCCCAGTGGAGACCTCCATGGAGACCCCCAGGGAGACCTCCTGGAGTGTGGGCCGCCCCCTCCTGCCTGTGCGGCTGGAAAGGCACTTCACAGAAGTCACCTGAAGAAGGCCTGAGACAGGAAAAGGTGACCTGGGGCCTTTCCAGGTCTAGAGTGATGTACTTCCTGCTCTCCAAGGAGCTCTGAGCGCTGTGCGGTTGATCGCGGGCTTCATCATTGGTTTGTGTTGACAATTCGGAGGAGAAAGACCCAGGAGCTGGGTCATTGCTGGCACTCGTCTTGGGGACCCAGTTCCACACCTTCCTGCTGCGTTGACAGAAGCCTGTCCCTCTGGCTCGGTGGCAGGTCGTGAGGGGGTGCTAGCTCAGCTGTGCTTTGAGCCTCGTACCTGCCTGTTCTGAGTCTGAGACTTACATCAGTGAGCTGAGCCAGACACCAGTGTCACGGGGCTTGTGAACAGTGCCCCGAGGTCACCTTACTGACCCAGAGGAGTTAGGTGCTATTATTTATTTTTAATATGTATTTTTCAATTGTAGTTGGATACAGTACCTTTATTTTATTTATTTATCTTTACGTGGTGCTGAGAATCGAACCCAGGACCTCGCACATGCTAGGTGAGTGCTCTACCGTTGAGCCACAACCCCAGCCAAGGTGCCATTATTTGTCTATTTATTTTCCCCTGGTGCCAGCGACTGAACTCAGGGTGGTTCTACCACTGAGCCACACCCCGGCCTTTTTTAGTTTTTGGTTTGGGGACAGGGTCTTGCTGAGTTGCTGAGGCTGGCCTTGGCTTTAGGGTCCTCCTGCCTTAGCTCCGAATGGCTGGGATTACAGGAATAATCCGGGGTGCGTCCTGGCCAAGCTGTCCTCTCAGTTGCTTCCAGCCACTGCAGACCCCCCTGGAGTGGTGGGGCTTTGAGGAAAGCTGGCTGGTTGACCAAGAAGGACTGCTGATGTCAGGATTCCACCAGGAAGCCACCCACTGCCGCCCAGCTTCCCTCCCTCAGTGAGTGAGGAGGGGTCCCAGGCTGGGTCCCCTGAGACTTTCCATTGAAATCAAGGGTTTTGTTTAAGCAGAGCCACTTGCCACCAAGGGATGAAAAGGCCTCACCTGCTTGTCTCTGGGGTTCACTGATGGGGTGCACAAGAATCCCCGAAGGGCATGTGACACTACTGACCCTGGGCCACTCCTAGTGGGTGGTGTCCAGGGGGAGGACCCAGGAATCTGCACAGTGAGCAAGGAGCTGGGTTGGTTTGTTTTGTTTGTACTTAATCACTGAGCACCCCCCCTCCCCTTTTTAAGTGTCTTAAGGCCTTGCTAAGTTGCTGCTTCTGGTCTTGAATTTGTGATCCTCCTGCCTCAGCCTCCCAGTTTGCTGGGATTCCAGGCGTGCGCCACACCCAGCTGGGTTGTTTCTAACATTCTTGGAGTAGTTTAGGTGAGGGATGTGGAAGTGGAATGGGACTGATTGTCACAAGGACCCTGAGAAACTGTAAGCGAGTAGACTGACTCATCATTGGAAGCAGAGCTTCCTAGTGGGACACTCAGGTGGCGCAGGGCTGGGAGGAAGTGGAACCCTCTGGTGGCCAGCGTGTGTCTGTGCAGGCTGCGTGGGCCTTCTCCCCAGTGCCCAGGCTGGACTTGTGCGGCTCAGGACAGTCTCACACTGGCGGACATTCAGGGCTGACCGTGGGGAGCTTCTGGCGAGCAGGATGTGGAGACAGTTATTGCTTCCCTGGTCCCTGTTGGGTGGAGGCAGGTTCCATCTCTAAGCCCTGGGAACAAAGGGAGGAGCCTGGTCACAGGAAGCCAGACTGTGGGAGGCCTGAGGTGTGACGCCAGCTGGGTAACTGCTCTCTCTTCCCCGCAGCCGGTGATGAACAATGACAAGCACTGCTTCGAGTGCTACGGCTACGACATCATCATCGACGACAAGCTGAAGCCCTGGCTGATCGAGGTAACTGGGGACGCCTGCACTGGGCTCGCCTCACGCAGCCCGCCCTCAGGCTGCCCAGCATGCGCCCAGCGGCCCCGGCCAGCTTTCACCAGGCTGGGCAGGAGGACTGGACAGAGGCTCAGGTTGGGCAGTCAGGAGTGCACCCCAGACCCATCTCTCCCCTGAGCCCCAGCTGGGAGTGCGGTGGGGCTGGGGTCCCTCTCCAGATGAGCGCAGAGCTTGGTGACTGTTGGTGCTCCAGCAGCCCTGCACCCTGACCCTTGAGTCCTCGTGGGGGCCGCTCCTCTCCAGAGAGGGGGCTCCAAACCACGAAGCGCTCTGTCAGCAGGAGCCTGCTGTCCAGAGGTCAGGGAAGCTCTCGCTCTTCCTGGGCCTGTAGGAAGGCAGTTTGGAAGTGGGTTGATCTGTCTGTTCCCAGGAGTAGGGAGGACTCATGGTGGCTGTGCCAGGGGCGCAGGGGTACATGCGCCCTGCTGTGCAGAGGGCCCTTTCCTGGTGACAGGCCATGCTGCACAGCAGGCCTGAGCTTCCTGCTCACCTTGCCCAGTTGCTGAGCCGGCTCTGAGCATGCTGTGGGAATGAAAGCGTCCAGCTCTGTGCTCTGCGGGTTCTTGGCCACGTTTCGCTCAGAGGGTCTCCTCACCAGGCTCCTGTGGAGGTGGAGCTCAGGCCAGGAAGCCCTGGGTCCTCCTGAGTCGTGGGGCGGGGCTGGGGGTTAGGAAAGTCAGAGACCCCCCAGCGGCTGTTGGAAGAGCCCAGATTCCTGTGCACAGGCTGGCTGTGTTCCGGGGTTTTCCAGGGACCTCACTTGCTCTGCTGCCAAAGCTCTGTGTGTTGGGGGCGGTGGGGGGGTAGGGGGTAGGAGTATAACGTGTGCTTTTTTCCTGCATCTTAAACGGAGTATCTTGAATGGGAGCCAAGCTTTCCTTGATGCGCTAGGATCCTAAATGTAGCCATTTTTTTCTGTTTCATATGTATGTGTGGCACTGGGATTTGAGCCCAGGGGTGCTCTACCATTGAGCCACACCCCCAGCCCTTTTTAATTTCTTTTTCTTTTTTTTTGAGACAGAGAGTTGCCCAGGCTGGCCTCAAGCTTGCGACTCTCCTGCCTCAGCCTCCCTCGTAGCTGGAATTATAGGCATGTACCACCATATCCAGCTGGACCATTATTTATTTCTTTTCTTATAAAAATTATTGATTGATTGATTAATTGATTTTTTTTTAATATTTATTTTTTAGTTCTCGGCGGACACAACATCTTTGTTCGTATGTGGTGCTGAGGATCGAACCCGGGCCACACACATGCCAGGCGAGCGCGCTACCTCGCTTGAGCCACATCCTCAGCCCATGATTTTTATTATTTATTTATTTGTACTAGGAATTGAAGCCAGGGGCACTCAACCACTGAGCCACATCTCCAGCCCTTTTTTAAATATATTTTATTTAGAGTCAGGGTCTTGCTAAGTTGCTTAGGGCCTTGCTTTTCCTAAGGCTGGCTTTGAACTTGAGATCCTCCTGCCTCAGCCTCGAGAGCTGCTGGGATTACAGGCCTGTGCCACCGCGTCCAGCTTATTTTTAATTTTTTTTTTTTTGATTTGGGGATTGAACCCAGGGGCACTTAAAAAACTGAGCCACATCCCCAGTCCTATTTATTTTTGGAGACAGTGTCTTACTGGGTTGTGGCTCAGTGGTAGAGCACTTAGCTGGTATGTGAGACAGGGTCTCACTAAGTTGCTCAGGGCCTCACTAAGTTGCTGAGGCTGCTTTGAACTTTTGATCCTCCTGCCTCAGCCTCCTGAGCCACTGGGATTATAGGCATACACCTCTGTCCCCAGCCTACAGTGGTAATTTTAAAGGCAGCTGAGATACCAGGATTCCTGATAGTATCTACAGTAGACCCCCTGCCAGCCACACAGGTCCTGTGCCGCTCCAGCCTGTGACCTCCTGGAGGGGATGGGCCAGCTGCTCTCTGACTGGGAGAAACCTGACTCATCACAGGTCTGCTGCCTCTGTCCCCCAGGGCCTGGGGGCTAACCAAGGTCATTAGAACCACACCTAAAATAGGAGTAAATCGGCTGTGAGCTGAGGCTGGGTCTCTCCAGGGGTGAACGTCTGCATTTCACCTGTGGGGTTTGGGGCTTGCCTCAGTGCTCAGAGGCTTTGGGGGACCCGCTCCTGTGTGTCAGTGGGTCCCCACTGGAGTCAGAGTGCTGCTTCCTGGTGAGGTGTGGCTCTTTTATAAAAAAGGAAGGTCTTTCCTTTACCTCAAACCCCACCCTGCTGTGTGGTCAGGGTCCTCTGGGCCATTGATCTGGTTCTGGGTGGCTTTTGGTACTTAGGACATAGCAGAGTGTGATCTGAGGTGACATAAAGTTATATTTATGCTGACCCCAGGGTTTTATGGGTGTGATAGCTGATTTGAGGATTCTAATCCTAATCAGTTCTGCTTTATCTAACAGCTAATAAAATTAGATTACAAAATGTTCCCCGTACAAGACGGGAACATTAAATAATGTTAGTGAAGCATCATAAAGTCATATTCAGTCATGACGGCCACCTAAACCGGGTGGCAGCCGTGTCCTCTCCTGCGGGCCTGGAGGAGCGAGGGCACGGTGCAGACTGTGGTTTTCCTCTCTTAGGTAAACGCGTCCCCATCCCTCACCTCCAGCACTGCCAACGATCGAATCCTCAAGTACAACCTCATTAACGACACCCTCAACATCGCCGTCCCCAACGGCGAAATCCCAGACTGCAAATGGAACAAGTCCCCTCCAAAGGAAGTTCTTGGGAATTATGAAATTCTGTAAGTCGTGTGTGGCCCTGCAGTTGTCCCCTGAGGTGTGCCAAGGCCCCGCGTGGGTGTCGGAGGCAGAGTGTCTCATTCGCGATGCCGCGGCGGGGCTCACGGCCGAGCAGGAAAGCTAGGCCGGTGTTCTGCTCAGGCACTGGGGGCTCTGGGACAGCTGGGAGCCCGGTGGACCTGGCCCTGGGCGCCCCCTCAGGGCTGTGTGATGCCGAGGAGCTCCTGTCCATGGGCACCTCGTCAACTGGAGCCAGGAGCCATCCTGCAGCTGGAGGGAGCTGCCTCTCGTGGCCGGCCTCCGAGGGCTCGCCGCGCGCTCCACACGCTCCTTCCCGCGCCCTCCCAGCCCCTGAGGAGAGGAGTCCCCCTGAAGTGGTCCCCTCATGCTGTGACATGAAAAGATGGACCCGGCACTGCATGGAGGTTGCTGAGGATGGATGGAGAGTCTAGAAGCGCAGCAGAATGGGCCCTGGCCAGGGCCGCTTTGGATTGGCAGCGTGGGAACCAAGGGTGGTGTGAGGTGACAGATGTCAGCTGCAGGGGACCCCCACGGGCTCAGATCTGTGGCTCTGCAATGGGAGCTGTAGGGTGGGGACAATATGAGGGGGGTCTGCCAGGAGCACCAGGGCCTAGGGGTCCCCCTTCGGTCCTGCTCAGGGTGGCAGGGTGGCAGGGAGGCTGGTGGGTTGGGAACACATGGGTGGGCTCTGTGCCCCTCCAGCCTGTGACCTCCTTGAGGGGATGGGCCAGCTGCTCCACGTCCAGGCCGAGGAGCAGAGGTAAGGCCCCTGCTTTTAGTTGTAGAGAAGAAGAAGGTCACCCGTCTGTTGAGCCACCCTCTTCCCCCAGCTATGAGGTGGCACGGGCTCCTGTGTGGAGGCAGTCCTAGCTCCTGCCCAGGACCTGCAGGTGTCCGTTATGGCCCGGCTGCTGAGCAGGGCCGGTGCAGAGTGGAGAGAAGGGCTCTGTGGCAAGAGGGGCTTCTGTCCCCAACGCCTGCCCTGTCCCCGCGCCAGGCCCTGTGCTGCATGTTGCCAGTGCTCACGGCCACCTTTCAGTGTGAAGAGCGGGAGGCTGGCAGCATAGGTTCACATGCCAGGGTCACACTGGGGCTGCCCAGAAACAGGTGTTCTTGCTGCCCCCAGATTGTCCCCTGCCTGGCACCACAACGCCAGCCTTGTGCATCTGCCCCCAAGAGTCTGTCTGAGCTGCCAGCTCTGGTTCCACAGCCTTTAAAAACACCCCTCGCACCCCAAAAAAATACATTTAGAACCCAGACAGTAGCCAGGTGCGGCGGCGCAAACCTGAAATCCCCGTGACGTGACGTGACGTGACGGGGAAGGCTGAGGTAGGGAGATCGCAAGTTCAAGGCCAGCCTCAGCAATCGAGCAGACCCTGCCTCAACCAAAACATAAGAAGTAGCTCAAGGGCAGAGTGCAAGATCCTGGACTCCATCCTGTACCTCAAAACAAACAAACAATGGTAACTGTTCTGCCTGTCAAAACCCAGAAGAGAGGCTTTTGAATAGGAAGGGCCATAGACACCGCCTGGCTCTGTCTGGGTTCCGTTTGCTCCCCAGGTGCCACAGCTCTGGGGGGACAGCGCCTGGTCCCAGCCGCTCGCCAGCCAGGTGTGCTCAGTTGCTGTGGTTTTCAGGCCGCGTGGCACAGGCTTCCATCCTCATGGGCCGAGTGTGGTCCTGTCCACTCCTTCAGCAGTTCTGCCCACCCGCCTTGCCAAGTGCTAGGGGTGGCCAGGAGACACAGGAAGCGTCACTGCAGCCCTCAGTCAGTGATGCAGATGCCCAGCAAGCCATAGGGTGGTAGCCTGTGGATGGGGTGTCTGGGGGCCGTAGCAGTCTCCAGGGACAGGGGTGCTGGCCCTGTGCAGAGGGGCTCCCTTACCAGGCTGGGAGGAGAGGAGCACCTGGTGGGGTGTCCTGCTGTCCTACCCCAGCGCAGAGTGGGCCCTGTGGAGTCTGCCATGTGGGGAGCAGGGGTGCCCGGGCCTCTCCCTCCCTGCACATCCGCCCCGTCTGCCACCAGGAGCACAGCGCAGGCGTCCTTCCACCCAAGCGTTTCTGAGACAGACCCCCTGCACCCGCGGATTCTGGTTCTGGGAATGACCCTGAGGCAGAAGCACGCCCTTGGCCAGGAGCCCGCAGAATGCAGCCTGCAGCAGACCGGCCCCCTTGGCCCTTTTTGGGGTGGTGCAGAGTCCACAGATGACCGAGGGTCCGCGGGCAGGACGCACTTAACCACGAGCGGCGGCAGGAGGAAGCTCTGCGTTAGGGATACGGAGTCCTGGGTGACACCCCAGCTCTGCCACGGCCTGGGTCTGAGCTAGAGAGTAGTGGGCAGTCATGGGAGGGGTGGGCAGCATCTCTCCACCTGAGGGACCTTGGAGGGGCCCCACTGCGGCAGAAGGGCAGGGACTTGCTCTGATGCCGTTTGGCACAGGGCACCCAGGCTCCGTCCAGCTCCTACAGACGCCAGGCGCTTTCCCGCCCCACTCACGCCGCTCGCCCTGGCACTGCCCGTGCTGGTGAGCGTTGGAAACCAGGCGGCGAGGACCTGGAGGGGCATAAGAGGTCCTGCTGGAGGTGTGCGCCTGAGCTGGTCCCCTCCTGTCAGCCTCTGGCCCCTACCAGGGGTGCTGGACAGAGGGTTTGGAGACGCGGGGCCTCCCGTCACTGCACGGGGCTAACCTGTGGTGTCTCATTTGTGTTCATTGCCAGCATCTGTCTGGGGACCTGTTAAAATGTCCACTGCAGGGTGGGACAGGGCCCTGTCCTCAGTAGCAGTTGAACCGCGTGGTCCTCGAGGCTGTGGCCTGTGGGCAGCGGGGCTGGAGCTGGGCGAGGTGGGACTGGGGTCAGGGGTCAGGCCTGCTGCTTCCCGGTGACATGTGTGCAGAGCCCGCTGTGATCCTGGAGATGGTCTGTTTCCAGGTACGACGAGGAGCTGGCCCAGGGCGATGGGGCCGACCGGGAGCTCAGAAGTCGACCGGGGCAGCCCCTGGGGCCCAGGGCAGGCCGCACAAGAGACTCAGGACGATCCGTCCTCTCCACCTGGAAGTGACCACCAGCAAGAAGGAAGCCCCGCTGGGCCTTGTCAAGACGACCCCCTTCCCAGACCCCACTGAAGGCCTAAGACCTATTTTGGAATTTCCTTTTTTCTAGAGTCCTCTTTCCTGAGCCTGTAAATAATAAAGCACTTATTTGGAAGGTCAAGGTGTCTGTTTCATGAGGGCAAAAGAACTGGCATGGACGTGTGGAACTAGCCCTTTTGACAAACAGTAAGAGTGCAGCTGGGACTCAGCTGGTTATGACAGTTATGAGGCGGGTGATGTTGCAGCCCTCACCAGAGACTCCAGAGGCCGAGGCAGGAGGACTGCAGGCTCGAGGCCAGCCTCAGCAACTCAGGTTAGCAATACCTGTCTCAAAAAACAGAAAGGCCTGGGGGTGTCGCTCAGGGTAGAGTGCACCTGGCTCAATCCTCAGTACAAAACCCCACTACAGACGAGTTGGAAGGCCACCCTTATCACCTCCCCGAGTGGCGCTGCGCCCAGGGAGCCCCGGGTCCCGCCACACGGCAGCTTCAGCTTCGTTCCTTTCACCTTTGGAGGCGACCATCATTTGCAGAGGCCTTGGTCAGGGTGCTCTCAGGAGAGACCTGTTTCTGTCACCCCAGGTTTGGAGACCAGCACAGACCGTTCCCGCTAATGGCTTCTGTGGCGCCAGCATCTGGGTTCCTGAGTACTGTTGGCAGCCATCAGCGGGGACGGGCCACGTGACGTCCATGGAGCCTCCCCAGACTCCAGGGTCTTAAGGAGAAACAGGGAAGGACCTGAGCCCACCTGGGAGACTGACGGACGGATGCATCGATGGCTCCAGAGGTGGGAGGGGTTCTTTAAGAGCCCTGTTCTCAGGGTCCCATCCGACCCTTGGACTAACTGAGTCACTATCTTGAAAGCTCCGCCTCCCTCTGTTCCCAGGTCAGGGGCGGGGCTTGGGGTTTGTTCTCAGGGCACTGTGCCGGGTCCTGGGTCCCTGGGTCGGGCTGACTGAGAGCCCCCAGGCCACCCCGGACAGCATAGGCGTCCTTCCTCGTGTGAGTGAAAGGGGGTTAAGCTGGGAGGGGTGGCACAGGCCTGTAATCCCAGAGGCTGGGGAGGCTGAGCCAGGAGGATTGCAAGTTTGAGGCCAGCTTGAGCAACTGAGTGAGTCCTGTCTCAACAAAATAAAAATGGCTGGGGACATGTTCCAGTGGTGGAAGCACCCGTGGATTTGATCCCTAGCACCAAAAGAGGGGGGAGTTCATTGTTTTGCTTCAGAAATGCAGTGTGGGCCGCGCCGCGGTTAACCTCCCCACCCGCTGCTTCTCCCTGCTGCTTCTGACCTGGGGGAAGGTGGACTCCGGGTGCTGACCTCGGTCTCCTCTCTGATGACGAGGGTGGCCCGGGCAGCTAGAAGAGAGTGCTAGTTGCTGATGGCTGTTGCTGGGTGAGAGGCGCGGCTGGGGTCTGCGTCAGACATTGGCTGTCCCACGAGTGACCAGATGTTTCCTCTGCACAGTGCCCAGCACACAGCTGGGGACCGTGCGGTGTCCTCGGCCTCAGGAGCGTGTGAGCTGGGGTCAGTGCTGCTTGTCACCCGGCCCAGCTCCGGCAGTGACTCTCTTGGCCCAGGATGACAGCCTGTTTTCTGCCACCACCCTCCCTCTATTTCCCTTCCTGATGGGCTGGGCCCGGGCCCAGGGCGGCACCAGCTGGTCATTTTCTCCGTTTCTGACGGGTCGGGCCTCTCCCAGGCTCAGCTCCTCGCGCGCCTGCTCCCAGCATGGCTTGGGCTGCCGCCTGAGCCCTGGGCAGCCTCCTCACCGAGTCCCCGCTCCCCCCGACGCCTGGGCCACTGCTGGAGGGCCCACCGTCCCAGCCCACGCCCCATCCCATCTTAGGGCTCCACCCCGAGTCCACGGGCTTTTTCTGTCCTGCGGCCTTTTGTCCCAGGCCCGTGGTCCTTTAGCTCCACCAGCTCCTGTGCTGGGGAGGGTGGAGGCCGCCCGGCCCTGGGCTCCTGCCCTTCACTTGCCAAAACTTCCTCTCTGTGCACTGTCCTCCAGCCCCACCCTCCCTGGACCCTTCTCTAGAGGTCATCCTTCCCCCAGGTGGGTGGTGAGCTCCCTCTAGGTGCCACTTCCACTCTGCGGCCTCCTGCCCGCCCCGCATCAGCTGATCCCGGGGTCAGGCGGGATCTGCTGCAGGGACTGCCCGGCCCTCTCTTCACTGCTCTCAGCCGCGGCCGTGAATTCAGGGGAGAAACTGGATGAGGGGCGATGGGGATGAAGAAAAGACAGACACACAGAGAAAGCTGGGCCAGGTGGACAGCCAAGCTCTGATGGAGCTCCACTGACCCAAAGCTAGCTCAGCACGTTCATTATGGGGGTTTCATTAAAAGGTTCTTTGTGGGAAAGTTTCAGCAAAACAGACAACATGAAGGACGTGGGCCTGGCGAGACATTAGGGTCACCTTGTTATGCTCAGAATTCTCCATTCCCGGGAGTTGGTGACTGAGCCCAAGGTTCCGACTGGTACAGCTGCCCGCCTTCACACCTAGCCGCCTCTGGCCAGACATCACCATAGCAACGGGGCCACCTTGACCTGCACCTTTGCACAGGCAGTTCCCAGCGCAAAAGCAGCCATGAGGGAGTCAGACCATGATTCAAATCACCACTCTCCACCGGGACCCTGGGCAGCTCCCCGCCAGGGCTGGAGCCAAGGCCCGGCACCCTGGACCCTGGGCACCCATACCCAGGCACCCACAGGTGTTCACTATGTCATTTAACATGAGCTGTGCCCGAATGGAGCACCCTGGGGGTTTTCAGGACCCTCTGTGAGCCAGTAAGAGCACATTGGCTTTGTTTCCTGTTTCTCGGAGGATGGGCCCCGAGCTGCAGGCCGGCTCTAGGAGACCATGTTTGTAAAGGAAGATATGCTCGGTCTTCTCTGGTTTTGTTCCAGCTACAAATGCTTTAAAGTCAAACTCGGCCTTCTTCTCTATTTGTGGGATGAAGTGTTGCCCAGCTTTAGAATAGAAAATGAAGCCCATCATGCAATTAACATCTGTTCTGTGTTATTTGGTCCTGGGGATTGAACCCAAAGGCCATTAACCACTGAGCCACATCCCCATCCCCTTTTTAATTTTTTAAATAAGTTGTTTAGGGCCTTGCTTAGTGGCTGAGGCTGGCCTCAAGCTTGCAGTCCCCCTATCTTTGCCAAGCCTCTGAGATGGCAGGCGTGTGTCACCACACCTGGCCCCATGAAGATCTTTGTAAACGGAACAATGCCATTCTCCCTGTTTGTTCCCCAGGAGCAAGTTCAAGTTCTAGCTCACGCTTGCTCCTGGTGTGGGTCCTGGTGTAGCTGTTGGGCTGTTTGCAGGAGCCAGCTGGGGACTGCAGTGTCCCCTACAGGCAGCCACAGGCTTCCCCTGCCTGCCATATGTGCCCCGCAACACGTGTTTACTACCTTGATTTTCTTATATAAAATGTCTCAGGTTGTCCCAGCCAAAGTCTGAGTGCTCTTCCTGGGACTTCAAGTAGGTCTTTTCAGACGGTGAATTTTTGAGGGGCGTAGGGTGTGAAGCTGCACTCGGAAGGGCTTTGCAGGTGGCCTGGCAGAGTGGCCTGGCTGCTGTGCAGCCCTGTCATCAGCAGCCCCTTCTAGGCACAGGGACAAGGATTCAGTCTCCTAGACACCACGTACCGTACCTCCAACAGCCACGTCACCAGCCTCCTCATCGACAGCCCTGCTGCATGGGGCAGGGCGGGGGGACACTACACATTAGAAGGGCAGGAGGGTGGCCCGGCCTGCACGGCTGTGGAGCCCCATCACCAGGCTGGGAAGCTGGCCCACAGGATCTGATTCTGCAGGGGCATCACCTTCAGGCCCTTGGTGACGTCAGGCAGCGGTGTAGGTGTGTGGTTTAAGAGGTTCCCCCTCCCCAAGACTCCTGTTCACTCAGACCCCAGAATGTGACCTTGAGAGAGGGTCTTTGCACATTAGATCGTTAACCCGTCATTTGCTGCAGCCCACAGGAAACCCCCGGGGTCAGCAGAGAGGATCCAGGGGGTCCTCCTCCCCCAGCTGGCCCTGGATGACAGCTGGGAGCCTGCCCACTGCCTCCTTCCTGCAGGGGCCCCCCGCAGCACTGTGGTCACCTGCACTGTGCTGTCCACCTCTCCCAGCGCCAGGCTTCCACTTCCTCCCAGCCCCACTGTGTGGGTAGGCAGTGTCCCCAGATCGCTGCTATTGTGTCCCTGCACCTGGTACAAGTCCCTTGGAGCCTTGGTGTCTGATTTCAGGGCCTTCTCAGGACTTCCCTCTCCCTCACCTCTTAATCCATTGTCTTGGTTTCAGCCACTGAATGCTGTCCCCTCTGTCACCCTGCCCCCATTCCTCCCAGTTCCTCTCCCAGAGCTGCGGCCTTCCTCCCCGCCCTGGAGCTGCTTCTCTGAAGGGATCACCTGATGGCCGGTCCTGTGCTTCCGGACTCCTCCTGGCTCTCGGGGTTCTCAAGGGGGTGGAGGCAGCGGGGGCTGGTGGCAGGCACCCAGGGAGCTCTCCAGGACAGGGCTGGGGGGGAGACGCCTGGGTTCCCTCCTGCTGGACATCCCTCCTCCTGTGGCCACGGACTCTGCAGGCCCGAGCCCCTGTAGCCTGCACTTCTGGGCTGATTTTCATTCCGGCTGGACCGGCTCTCTGGGCTGGTCAGGCCGCTGGGCACAGTGCCCAGGTGGGCCTCGTGGCTGGGCCTCAGAGCAGGGCCTCTCGGGGAGGAGGGCCAGGCCTGCCGGGTTCACCTCTGTCTCAGTTGTCCTGACGCGTCCAGACAGTCGGGTGGTGAGGGGTGAGGAAGGGACACGGTGGGCCGTTCCAGC